TCCAACTTTATACTCTTGCTGTCCCGTTAGAGCCCAACATTCACTATTATATAACATTGCCGGTCTGATAGCAGTGCGATAAAACTTTCCTTTAAGTTTATTAGGCACCTTATGGTCACAAATAACTCCTTTAGCTTTTCTCCAATTAAACCACCCAACTTGAATTCTATGTGAAATATCTTCACTGATTTCGCCATTATTTTGAATAATGGCTCCCAAATATCTAAACTTTTCCATTTGAGATATAATTTGATCTCCCAATTTCACTTCCAAGTTATTGTCGAATAGTCCTTTACCAAATTTACAATATAAATATTCCGTCTTACTTCTACTCAGACGAAAACCTTTCGACTCCAATGTCCTTCTCCATAATTCAAGTTTGCAATTAACCTCTTCTCTTGTCTCTGCTATAAGAACTATATCATCCGCGAAGAGCATACATTTCGGGATTTCCTCAGAAAACATTATAGGATAACATTATTTAATGAACACAAGAAATTAATATGGCAATAAATGTTACATTAAAGCCAATCTAACTTGACAAATTTATCAAAGAAAATTAGAGTGTTCAGGCAAATGAGAACTGATCCAGGTAGTCCTGCAAACTAATTGAATTCAATCCTCAGAAAACAAAATGGAGTTATGGAAAAGATTGCCTTGCCTTGTTGGCAAAGCTCTTGCTCCAGTTCTAGCATCCTAGAATCTAAATTTGCAGGTACAGGGATAAGAACAAGTCAATATTATAAGTATCCACAAGAGTTTGAGGACCAACAGCATTCTATTTAAAAGGATATGTCAAGTACAAATAACTGTCATCTAAAGCAAGAAATGTCATTGTGTATGCTCATCCGGCTTCTTAATTGGCATGCACAAACAACTGAAATACAAATAATTCACCAACCCATCTGCCAATTTAAGAGCAAGGAATGTATAGTTATGCCAAATTCATTCTAGCAACACCTGCATCTTTTCTTAAAAAAGTTACCAGAATGAGATTTGTTCATACGGCTGCCAGGAAATATGATCATGTGGACCTTTGTTCATCAGAAACTGCTAGATTATCATGAACGTAACAGAGCCTTGTAATAAAATGCACTAAGTGTAGGAACATTAACTTTGTTTAAGCCAGACAACTTGGTGCATTTCCTAGCATATTCAATTATCATTCTAACACACTGTTCACGAACATAGAACAATTTACAGATTAAAAGCAAGAGTAGCTGGTAACCTTTTGGCCATTCTGCAACAATTCTTTCCTTCAGCATGGCCACGGTAGAAGCTGGCGGGTAACGGAAGGGCCCAATGTCTGAACCATCAAAGATACGAAACTTAAGCTCCACTAAGTCTTCGTCCGGCATCTGATTTTTTTCAACCAATTCAATTCGTGTACAAGACAGTACCACCAACCTCGGACCAAAACTATTCCCTTAAAACCTGCATGCCCCTGCAGCCAAACAGACCGATCGATCAGCAACTCTTTTTCTTTTTCCTGCAAAAACTAAACGCGTAAAAGTACCGAGAACCAGGCAATTCGGAGTCTATTTGACACTAACTTCATTGAATTAAGGAAAAAGAGAACGAAATTAAAAAAAGATAATACCTTGAACAAGAGTAGTAGCGAGAAAAGGAAACTAAAGCTGATGGCTACAAAAGGGTCACAAGATGTGCTTGAAGAAGGAAAAATTTATCGGCATCAAGGAGAGAGAATGAACCCTAGACCCCCATATTGACGCTTTCCTTTATTTTCTTTTCGGCTTTGAGGTTTGAACGATGATGGGGCTTTTGTCAAGCAAAGCAATCTTCTTGGTCTTCCATTTTTAAATTTTACGAAGTATTCAACTTTTTATTGCACCGAGCGCATTTAAAAAAGAGGAAGAAGGAAAAGAAGTGAGATATGGATTTGGAATCTTGCGGGTGTCAGTGAATAGAGTGGGAAGGCAAGAAGTTAGGAGTCACAGCAGCAACAGGAAGATCCCGTCGGCGCGTAAGGTGAATCTCTGAACCAATCATGGCAACCTCGAATTTAATGGGTGGGAAGAACAGATAAGGGAAGTTACTACGTTTGTGCCGATTTGTTGGTTACCCGTTTTTTTGCAGCTGGGCTTTATTGTTATTATTTTATTGGTTGGTTTCTGTTTGGATTTCATTTTCAGATCAGTTTTTTTTCCTCCAATTGCACAACCTCTCGTCCATACCAATAATTATCCTCGGATTTTATTGAGAAAAAAAATAGATTTTAAAATTAGCAATAGAATATATAACTTTAGTGCAGTAATTTAGATTTTAGTTAAAAATTTGATGACAGGCATATGACGGTATAAATGACACATAATCTTATTATATAAGGTACAAGTTGTGGGTCAATGTTCCTTTTCTGGAAATCTAAAAGATGCTAATCGTTGTCATGGAGTAAATTGGGCCTCATAAGCCCACGTTCATTGGAGTCTTTGAGGCATTGTTCAGGACTCAAAAGTATTGCCAGGAAAAATCTTGCTCTCAACATTTCGAGATAATTCTTGTTGGCAACAAAGGGTGTTATTTATGCTCTATAAAAGTGAGTCCTTTAGAACCCCACATATTGTTTATTGAATCTCAGTATCTCAAGAAAAAAATCTCCGCTGTCGGCAGGAATCTTCTCCCTGTGCTCACAAATAAAAAGATTTGCCAAGAAAAATGGTCTACCCTCTAAGCATGTAAAGGCTTAGTGGATGATTTATAAATATTTCCTTTATTCTGATATAATTTATAATTTTTTTTATAAGTGCTTTAAAAATTATGAGGCTTGTCATGTTTCGAAAGTACATATTGAGTGTTGACAAGTGATTAGCCTAAATCTCAAAATTAGGAGGATTCAATATTTGTTGAATTTTGATGATAAATAATTTGCAATTAATATTTTTAAAAAAATTGAGATTTTTCAAAAAATTTGGTAAGCTTTTAAAATCCATAGCTTTTATTGAAAAAAAAAAAACTCGATGACCTGGCTTACTGGTAATGAGATATGTTGTTTATTATTTAAGAATATCGAGAATACTCAGTCCTTTTTTTCTGGGGGTGGGGTGTTGATGGAGTCCACAGCGTAGCTGATAATTAATGTTAAAATACGACGATCACTTGAAAAAGGGAGGCATCAATTCTCGGGAGTATCTTATGCGAGGTTCTTTGTTAATAGACGATTGATTTATTTATTTTTATAATTTATTATAATATATGATTTCTTTGTTAGAAATATCTTCTATTGGCTAGCTTCATTTTGAATATATGGAAGTTTTTTATATGAGGGGGAAGTAGCAGCTTCAACCTCCCTTATAATCTCAGACCATATTCTTTCTTGTTGCTCAGAACTCGCAAGAGATAAGCCCATATTCCCTTTATTCTCAGTTGGAAAATTATTATTAATAATAACTATAATATATTATAATTATAAATTGCAAAATTCTCAGAAGGAAAAACGCAACCTTTCTCATACACCGAACAAAGCCTAGTTCTTACGGCTCACATCCACCGCCGTTTCTTTGTGGTCCCATTGCTCCCTCCGTTTCATGTACAAGGCATTTTTTAGAAAAGGCTGTCGTGGTATTTTTAAATAAGTCTTGAATAAAAAAAAAAGAGATATTAATTGTATGTTTTATTTATCATCATCACGATACTAATTGATATTATTTGAAATAAATTTGAAAAATTACTATAATTTAGGAAATCAACTGAGAACGGAGCGAGGAAGCAGGGGTGTGCATCCCGAACATGGGCGCGCCATGTCGACTGTTTTTATTTTTTGTCAATACGTTCTAACGCGGGCAAGTACCGGTGGATATGGGGTTGGACACAGGACGCGACGTTTTGGCTCCTTTTTTTTTTTTCTCTCTCTCTATCAAAACGAGATGCCCTGCTTCGTCAAGTTCATTCCCAAATCCCTCATCGCCTGCTTCGCTCTGTCTCTGACGGTGAAATTCCAAGAGTTGGGACCCTGCTTCGCGTTCGGCATTTTCTACTCGTCTGAGTTCATTCCCAAAACAAAAAAACCAGATGACCTGCTTCGTCATCTGACCCTTCTCTGTCATACTTCTTCAATTACATTGCCTCCGCCTGAGCTAGTCAACCTGCGTTGCTCAGCCAGCTGATCTGCTTTGTCGACTTTGTCTCCTCTAGTCACCTTGAAACTGCTGTCAACTTCGTCCACTTCTTGCCTGCGTCCTTCGTCGTTCTCTTGATCTCTTACATCTTCCCTCTATTTCTTTCATTAGTTAATGGCATGCTCATAGAGTTACATACTTACAACCATGTTCTAAATTTATTACGATGGACAGATTAGGATAATATTTCGCTGAATTTACACACTCAGACCCATGTTTTAAATTTGCCTCTTTCATTGGTCTGCGGCATGCTCACAATCACACGTGTTTTTAGATAACTTCTGTCTTATTTTCTTTTCTTTCTTTTTATGTGAATATAAATTGATCTTTTTATCTTGAAAAAGATAATTTTTATAATTTCATTTGTTTTTTTAAATTTTATTAGCGCTTCTCATATTAAAATTGCAGGAAATTGTATTGAAAATATATGTGTATCTAAATATTTAATATTTAATTATTTATATAATCAAATTTTATATCCTAAATATTTATTATTTAATTATTTATATAATCAAATTCATATCCTAAAATTTTTTAAAATTGTCATGCCCGTGTGTCATGCCTTATTGCGGTACTTGTATTGGTGCTTCATAAGGATGGAGGGAGCAAGTCAAAGTGGCGAAGATTGGGAATAGTATATATGTGTTTTAATTTTGACTCCTATATTCTTAAATCCTAATTCCGCTCCAGCAAGTCACAAGGAAGCAAATTGGATAGAGCAATAAAAATTTTGACTCGTACCGGTCTGTGGCTTTCACTGCGAAGTTAAGCTATTATTAGGAACGAACCCAAAGCAGAGACAATGCAGCCATTTGCAAGAACAGTAGGATAAATCAAGAGTAGTAGGAAAGTGTTTGGGAACCGAAGTGTAAAAAAACATATATATTTTTTCATTTTACTCTTATCTTCTTTACAGAGAAAGGAGGGTAAATCAAAGAAAGCATCACAAAACCAAATATCACCCCCGACGAGCCAAAAATAAAAAACAAAAATCAAAACTTAGGAATGGAGTAACAGAAGGATTCATAGAGAAGTCAGTAGTAGCGACAAGTATGACCAAAACAGAAGAGAATCGGAAAAGGGACGATAACTCGTGGCGCTCAGAAAGAGAGCGAGTGTGTGTTTGTGTTAGGAACAAGAAGAAGAAGCGTCTAGAGCCAGAGAGCCCCGGCTTCCTTGAGGAGAGGGACGAGAGTGCCATTGATGTGGCAGGCCATGACTCTGTCCATCGTTCCGACGAGCTTGCCTCCGATGAAGACCACCGGCAGGACGGAGGAGCAGCCGAGAAGCCTCATCAAGGCCCTCTCGAGCTCCTTACCTCTGGGGTCCTCGTCCAGCTCGTACACCGTGGGGTTCACTCCCATGCCGCAGAAAAGCCTCTTGATGGCGTGGCACATGCAGCACGTGCTTACGCTGAATATCACCACCGCGTTCTCCGACGCCATTCTCTCTATCCTCTCCAGCGGGTCTCCCACCACCACCGTCGTCACGTAGCCCCCCCACGACGGCGCCGTCTGATAATGCATTTTATCTTTATACTAATGTCTCTATATGACGATGCTGCTCTTAGAAACGAGTGTGTCAAGCTAGCCTGCTGGGTGCAGAGAAGCCGAGTGAGAGCTGGTATTTATAGAGGTTTAAGCGCATTGAGAGGATAATGTTTCTATATATTTTAAATATAAAGTTGGTCTATTCTTTCCCTTCTTTACCCTTTAGTAGTCGTCAGCTTATATGAGAGAGAGAGAGAGAGAGGGGACTTTATGTGGTTTTTTTTCCTGGTTTATTATTGTTGGGTTTGGCTAATAATAAGTGAGGAGGTTGTTAGATTAGGCTAGGAACAGGCAATTTTTTGGGCAATGATTATGTTGGGGGGAAGGGAAATGTGAATAATTGTGAGAGAAGATACTAACAAGCATTAACAATATTGTTAGGAGAAAAGAGAGAGCAGTTAAGTTGAAGGAATTAAGAGAGAAACAGAGAGGGCAGGCTTTTGCAGGAGGTTGGGTTAGAACCTGCTTCCTCTTCGTCGTCCTCGTTGGTCCTACCCCATCATCTTCTTCTTTTTCCTTTTCTTCTGCAATCTAATTGTTGGACGTCACCTTCTTCTTTTGGATACTTGAGGCTTGGCCAGTTATAGTGTATTAGTTAACTTCACAACTTCCATGAATAGGGGGAAAAAAGTGTCACCTTCTTCCAAAATTGAACAAGGCAGCTTCTAGAATTCAGAATTTGGAAACTTGAAAGCTCGTACATGGTATAAATGCCTGAATAATAATTAATGTATAGTATGGATTAGGTACGGCTTCTGTTCAGTAATCTTTTATCGAGGATAATCTATATATACTATATCTACATCAATCACAGCATCTTCCTCAGGCATATATTGAGGAATATAACAATCAAAAAGAACGCCAAAGAGATCTCGAGTTATAATTAGCACATGTCTATCTCATCACTTAATAAATTCATATATATACTTCCATCCTCGTTGATACTTTGATCCATTAACCACCCTCTCACACATCTCCCGTTTTTTCTTGATAACGTGGGGAATATCGAGCATCATTCGGTCACATGTAGACGGCCAAAAATAGCTTCACGCATTAGTCAATGAAATTGAAATTCAATGGAGACATATAATGCATGTGCCTGCATATACGCGTACAAAATTAATGTCCCATGATCATTTCCGAGCACGATATGGCCCCAAAAAGGAATATAATTTTTTTTTGTAGATGAACCAAACAAGTTGCAAGGTGCATGGTTGTGTGTGTGTGTGTGTGTGTGTGTGTGTGTGTGTGTGAGGATCGTAAAGTCGTGCTGAAAAGAAGCAAGGTATAAAAATATTATTGTGGAGTAGACTGTATATATTTGATAAACTAATTAAATGCCCATGCCTACAATTAATTAGTGAATGGAGGCACATGCTGGGCTGCCATGGCTCACAGGTTCACAACACGCATGCCTCATATATGCCTAGATATGTACGCAGCATGTTCACTGTTGTACAGCCTTCTCGCATTAATATAGCATGCATCAACAACAGAGACACAGTGTGTGAGCATAGTTTAGAGTTTTTCAATACGAAAGCAACAAAGAATAAGCCTTCGCTTTAAAGGAAGCACGAGGATCATATAGTATGTGTATGTGGTGATAGAGATTATTAGTGACAGACTGATGATGAACAGAGAAATATCCGTACGTACAGTGAAAGAAGGTTACTCTTTTTGGTATTTGGGGTCGTAGCTGAGCCTTTTGGTGCAGCTTGGAAGGGAAGAAAGAAGCCAAGGGACAGACACACAGGGGGGCATGCTATGGGGTGAGACAGGGAGAGAGAGATTCATGGGCGAAGAAAAAGATAATGATATTATTCGATTGTGCTTGTCGGCTTGGCTTTCCTTTTTCCTTTCTTCTTTCTTTTTCCCCAGACCTAATATTGTGTGTCCGTGACGTTGGTGAGAGTTATGACATAAAATATTGACCAGAATGCCCTTGTCTATTTCCCCCTTTTCGACTGAACCCTTCATAGTGAGAGGCCGTGTTCAATAAAGCCTGCGTCTGAAGCACACCGGATCCGGCTCTCCTTTCCCGTGTACCCGAAAAGCTATGAAATGAAATGCCATAACAATAACTGTGAAGTGCGTACGGTGCACCCATGGAACTATTCTTTTCATTTCTCTTCACACTCTTTGACCATTTTTTTGAGGGGAAAGGCAAAATCTGGTGATGGAATATCAACTTTATGGTCAAAAGTAAATAGACAGTTCTAAAAGGAACTAGTGATTAGTAAAGTAAATCTTCGTTCCGAAATGGGTCTGATGCTGAGATGGGGTCCGGATCAGGTAAGTACATGGATAATTGATGCTTTGAAGATCTGATTAACCCAGAGAGAAGTTTTCACCATTAATGGGGAAACAAGGCAAAAAGATGTGGGGATTGTGATGAGACCTAGTGACTGAGAACTTTACACGAAGCGTCTCATCAAGGTGGGGCCAACCGACCTCCCTTTCTTCTTTCTTTGCATATATAAGAGATGCTGCGGGTCTTTGATCCCTTTCTTCTTTCTATTTCGTGCTAAAGCATTTGAAACTTTAAGTTCTAGTATACGCTCTTTGACTGACCCTGTGACTCAACCATGTCGAATTTTCTTACGGGGATATGACATCATCCAGACATGCTTATACATATTTGAGTGTTATCCTCTCACTGATGGATCGATTTTGACTAAGGTTGCTTCAAATTCTACTCGCAATGATTAAATCAAGCTCTAACACTAATTAATGTTGTTTCTTGCCTTTTGTTTTTCTTATTAGTTTTACAATAAAGTTACCATTAGAGCTTGTCTAATATTAAATTCTTCTCCAAGCGATAAGCCACGTTTGTTTATCATGGTGTATGTGATGCGAGGAATTATAATTAAATTTCACTCCTCGAATAATAACTGAATCTAAGTTAATAAGAATGCAGATACTAAAAAATTAACAGTTAAATTATCTCATTCATCCCCTAATTTAACAGTATATGAAGACTGAACTTTTTTAAAAATGTTCAACAAGAGAAACCAAATTAATTATAAATTTACAGAAAGACTGATTCATAAACATTAAATATAACTATATATATACATTAATTAACCGAGCAAATTATTACGTATTACTCTAACCATAATAATAGCTATAGTGTTGTTGATCCTCATCACAAAATCCCAAGCAAATTGGAGGAGACAAAGGAGATTTTAATGAAAAAGCACGTGATGAAGTCACTCACATACAGTGATGGGGAATTGGAGAGGGAGTAGTAAGTTAGTGATGTGATAATGGTGAATGTTTGGGGAAGGTAAAGGCAACAGAAACATGTCGCCGCACAAAGGCAGCGACACCGCGTCTCTCTGCTCACGAGAACTGTTGAAATGATGACAGGGCAACGCATTGCGTGTCGGCCATTTCTTTCTTCCTTCTTTGTTTCCTCAATTGCGTGATGAAGCAACCACATTATTTGGTGCCTCATTTATGGCCATTGGGTGAAAAAAGAAAACATCAAACCCCCATTTTTGTGTAGAAAAAATCCTCAAAGACACATGCAGATATACTATAATGATGCTATACTTCATGCAGGCACTGCAATAATTAGTATGTCGCAGTAGGGTATGACTATCAATAATTTCAGTTGTTATAATGTTCGTGTGTGTGTGTGTGTGTGTAGTTAATTTCGTTTACGTCAAAAACGATCAACTCACATACGGTGCTCTATGATGATAAGCTAGTAAGTAGTAAGACATCGACCATGATCAAGATTCATGTCCTAGGTTATCAATAAACTAGTGAGCAATCATGTGTGGAAGCAAGGATGTCTGAGAAACATCGGTCTGCCTATAGGGTATAATACTAATTAGGATGTGGGATTCACAGTCTCTGGGTCTCATGAATGCGCTTAATTTGAATTCTCTTCTTTTAGATTTAGGCAGACAGGGAAGCACGCTCTCGAATACTTTCTGTGTGTGTGTGTGAGAGAGAGAGAGAGAGAGATACGTAGTGCGTGTTATTGAGATGATTCATGAGGAGCACGGCAAAGTCTGACGCAAAACCCTTTTTTGCTTGGTATACAATATGAACTATGAGACCAAAGGGAAACCTAACTTTACAAACATTAAAAAAAAAAAAACAACAACAACAACAACTCTGGTTGATGCAGCCGTTAATGCAAAAGACAAGGATGACGGCTTTTCTCAGCTTTTGTTCCCCGAGCTGACGTTACACCAACGTTGACTGCTTTTAATCTCCCGATCTTATTTTTCAATTTTTAATACTTGCGTGACTGTGTCCTTGTGTTTGTCGTCTTCACTTTGAACAGAAACACCCACCTCCCAAGAACTCAGCATTTAAGTTCCATTGATATAATCCTCATTACAGATGGGGGGCTTCAACACCCAATGCTTCGTGTTCCCCTTATTTTTAGGAGTCCATGAATGCTGGTAGTGAGCAATACTCGACTTTTCAGGATTAAATAAATGGAGTAGCATGCAACACCATTTTTTGCAGTTTCAAAACCTTTAAGGGACAAGAAGGTGTATCGGTATTGGGATCAGACGGTGCTTTTGTCTCGCATTGTGTCTCCACACTGTCATTCGAGTTAAGGGCATGTCTGTCTGTTCCCTCTGCCCTTGATTGCTAACCAACATTACATATCCTTCTTTGAACACTCCATCTCTTGCTTTCTCTCTTTCCCTTCACTCAACAGAATAAAATGGTGCTTTGATGAATTTACTGTTAAGACTTGAGAGGCTAGCTTCTGTGTCATAGATAGCAGAATTAAATAGCTGCAGCAACGTATGCATGCGCATGCTATATATGCTCGTAAATCCTTGGACAGAGGCTGCTTCTTTTGAACTTTGTAATTCAATGGAATCTAAAAGGAACTTTTACATTTTTTGTGAGCTTAAAGGCTCTCGCTAGGGTTATGTTTGACCAGGGCACTGGAAGAAAGTATGAGAGAGAAACTAATTTTATATATATATATATATATATATCTCTCTTCGGTGAGTGACTTGACTTGAGAGAAAAAGATGGATCATGCTCGAGAACCAACAGTACAAAAGCTTGAAACTTTAGTTAGTTGCGTTCCCGTATCAGCTTTTTGTCTCCCAAGTATTCTCTCTGGTAATGCGGATATACATGAGCTTAAATTTGGTCCTGACTTCTAATTATCCATCCCTTTCATCAAACCAAGTTTTAATCCCCAAATTCATGGGAACTCTCATCTCATTCGTCATTTGACTAGAAAGATACATAGATATGAGGAGTTATCATGTTGTGTGTGCGGTCCTGTCCAAGTTTCTGACCATGAGGTGTGGTCCGCTGCCCTTTACATAATTCTTTCCCCTTGGTTTGAGGATTCTATTCTCATGGACAAGCACCTTCACTTTGTTCAACGAGCTGAGGCTGACATGCCACCATGGACTGCAATGAGGAAAAAACTAAAATAAATAAGTAAATAAAAGGATCGATTAATGAATTTATTTTTATTCTTTGATAGATAAAAATTTAGATGAGTAGGATTGAGAGGTTTAATATGATCAAGATATATCTCTAAACTTAAAAAATATTTACAGATTATTTATCAATAAAATCTTTTTATTGACAAGAAGATTTAACCTTGTAACCTTATAATCAAATAGACTAACTTTTACATGTTGGATTTGGTATAGACATTTGTCTTTCATAGGCTTTAGGCAATCTAGCTCAATAACTCATCCAGGGAACTTGAATCCAAGCCGAAATACGTACTTTTCTCACCCACCAGCCCACCAATTCTCATTCAGTCATTCTCAAACCAAGAATGTCCGTAAATTATGCCGACCAATGCTAGTTCTCTGAGTACACACGTACCCGCGAACCAAACCTTCCTGACTTTCAGTGTTTTTTTTTTTTTGGGTGACCTTCACAACCGGCTTTGTCATCAGTTTAAAATCGGAAACCCTTGCTCTCAGAAATAATTAATGCAAAACAAAAAATGATATACATAAAAGCGTTATAAATCCTCGAAAAATGTTACGCTCATATTAAATGGCAGATCTAATACTTTGTTTTAGCTGCATCCTAACATACAAGCCCATGATAGTAATGCAAATGCTTGAGGACATGTCAGTACCAATGCCCATTTGTTGGCGAAGATGCAGATAGTCGTACACGTGTAATTCAGCTACGGCGTGCCCACAACCCTCTCCAACCGGGGGGAAAATTTGTGGGGAAAGCCCCAAGGCGATAAAATCAATTAACTTACAAACGGAAAAGGATTAACAAAGCCACTCAACAAAATCGTTATCCTTGATTTGACTCCTATAACGAAACCCTTCTAACTAGATAAAATATTAAAAGGTAACAGACGAAGATCACAAAGCATTATCTATGTGCAGTTCCGCAAATATCCCCAACAAGAAGGTCGCGAGCAAAGAAAGGGGAACAGCTTTTCCGAGTAGCCTTTTCTTCCCTAATTCCTAAAAAGATATAGGAACATGAATTCTCATTGCCGAGAGATTGGGGCCATAGGCATCGATGGGGGCTGGTTATAGTAGTTACCATCTGAACCCTGAAAACCCTGGTAGGTACCCACTGGAGCTGGTGTATAAGGTGAAATACTATTCAAGGAAGCGCCAACAGTAGGGTAGGCTGCCATTGATGGCTGCTGTGTCATGCTATAGCTATACGCTAAATTGTTAATTGATCCAGCAGCCTGCATGAACTGCGGCACTTGGTACTGTGGAATTGGCGGTAGTGGGGGCAACGGTGGAGGAGATGATGAAGGTGGAGGCGGGAGTTCACTGAGAGTAGATTGCTGATTGGTTGTGGATGCACTGTGTAGAGATTCAGGAGGAGAAAATGGAGGAAGCGGTTGTTGAGGATTATGAGATGGTATATAAGACGACTGGTCATTATCCAGCCTAGTCCTCTTCTCGGGATGATAATCACCACCAGAAGACTCTTTAATTGAATTACCTATTACCCCTTCAGATGCTAAGGAGGATAGAACATAAGATAGCATCTGGGCAGATGATGTTGATGCGGTTAACTTGGCCGCCACTGCAGCAGCAGCAGACTTGCGTGTATCTTCCTCAGTGTGTCCAGATTTTTGGGAACAAGATACTTGCTGTGTATACATCAATGGAGCTGACTGCTCTCTATCTCCAGGAACAAAGCCGGGAGGAGTTAAGGAGGTTTGAATTTCCTTTGAGCTTTGTTCAGCTAATGTCTGAATGTTACTGTCATTTAGTAATTGCTGGCAGGTATTACCAACTCGTTCTGATTGAACACGTGCTGCCTGATGCATCAACACAAATAGTCAGATACCAGAGAGATGAAAGTGCCACATCAAATTGCAAATTTCTAACACAAGCAACAGACAGTCACGAAACTAATCTATGTCCTTTATCCCCAGTCGACAGTACTGAAAAAGAAGCCTACTTGGCCCCATCCACCTCTTCGAACAGAAATTAATTACCATAGAAACATAAAACAGCAACAATATGTTAAAAGTGGGAATACCTTCTGAGTTTTGACTTTTATCTAACCCTACATCAGCAGGCACTTTTCATATTACATAATACAGTGTGAACTACGACACATTCATTGTGAAATTGAACAATATTTGCACAAGTGGTGAAACACAGAATTAACAAATAGTTCCACATGTTTCCTAAACACAAGCCAGACATATCAACAGATCTCTCCCGGGCTGGGAAAAAGGTTCACTCACTTGTACTTACCTACTCACTTGTACTTATCTTCACTTTCACCAATGTATTTCATCTTTTAGTTATAAAGGGATTTTATAAACTGAAATTTTATTTTCGCTGCTTGCTAAAGACACTAGCATCCTCTTATCAAAGTTGCTCATCCATAGGGTCATTTATAATTTGCAGAGAAAACAAAAAAATAATATCAAAACAAATTTAGACTTCCAAAGCCAAGCACTTTGTTATGGTTGTAATAAATTACATTAAGTGTACAAAAGGGCAGTATGTATTGTGCACGCCTGGGCCCACTAACCCTTGACAAATTTGAAATTTCATTTGACCTTGTTGCCCAACGATTTTCAGCATGCATAACAGTAGGACTGGCATCTCAAACTTATCTAAATAAAAAAAGAAAATGAAAGAATATAATACTGAATGAGGATAAACTCCAAACCTGGATCTGGTTACGGACTTGATCCAGCTTGGATTCCTGAGTGTAAAACATTGTAAGAATTGCATACCTTAAGTGAGGTTTTACTACTTTTCTAAAGAAAGGCAGTGTTAGAAAGAACCTGATCCTGGAGAGCCTCTCTCAGATGAGACACAAGGCTTGCTCTTGATGATTCTATAGCTGTTAATTGCCCGATGCAGTCCCTCAATACAGTGTCATGTCCCCGGAGCTCATCTACTAGTGTCGATCCATGGATCTTCCCTACTCAAATTGATAATTGAAGAGAAAGGTGAAATCAAAAGGTATTCCAGCTAAGTAACTGTTAAGTGTCACTTGGACTATATCCTAGTCCTTCTAACTTAAGCAGGAAACACATTGTGAAGAGCATGAGATAACTGCCAAGTTGATGAATAGTTAAAATCAAATATCAAGCTAACATGGTCAGTCAAATTAACAACAACTAGAGCAAGAATTCTGGCTTAATTTTTATAAGCAAGCACCTGTGTCATAAAATTAAAGTTACACTATTGAAGTTCATCATCATATATTGCTTTTTGTCTAAAATGGCAGTTTATAGATTAATAAATGTAGTTAAAATATAACAAAGACCATGTTACTCAAATTCATAATAAACATAGGATCATTTATAGAAAAATGTGCACTTTTTTTTTATTAGTGAACAATAACCCGTGCAATCATTTATGGAAAATCACACTGCTAAGAAGTCAACAAACCAGATAAACACACAAGAATCCAAGACATCAATAACAACCGTTAAGAACACTTAAAGTCCAATCTTTCAAGCAACAAAACTCTTTTGTTCTATTAGCTCTAAAACAAATTGCAAATACAAGCAAGCAAACAGAACACACAAAGGTTAATATTTCAATTCCAGCATACTTCTTTTAACAGGTTTCTGGCTCAGTTTTCAGCTCCTCAATGATTATGGAATCTCCCAAAAAGAAGAAGATGCTGGGTAAAAGCAGAGATGGTATCAAGATGGTTGCCTAGCTCAACTGGGATTTACAAAAATGCTCATTTTACAACTTTATCGCCTTAATTTAATTAATCAAAATTAAATGAGGCAGACATCCAAGTTGATCCAGAAACACCAGCTAAGCTTTTTGGCATTAACACAGAAAAAACAGAGTAAGGGCCTATCACAAGAAAAGAAGGAAAAATAATATAAAGAATATAATCAAACAATATATGATCACAAAAACCAGTTAGATACATGAGTCACAATTACTACAAACAAACAAAGCAAGTATAAGCAATTGATCTATACCAGAAGTGCTTTCTTGACCATTTTCCTTGTCTACTTTCTCAAGACAGCTAATGGCATTCCTGCATTTACTCAATATAGCATCTTCATCTATATGGCCTCCATAAACAGCTTGATAACCTGAAACTAGTTTCTCCAATGCATTACCAGCAGGGGGTCTCTAATAAAGAGGAGAGGGCATAGGAGATCAACTCACAGAACAAATATCAAAGAAAAGTGCACATAATCTTACACATAAATACAGATATTACCAGCTTCAAGGGCATGGATTTCCCATTACGGCTACTATTGTCCACATGCCTCCCAACAAACTCTTCTTTTAGAATTTGACCACGAGAACCAAAAACTTTTCTCTCTTCCCAAATACCTATCTGCTCATATAGCAAAGTCATGATGCCGGAAAAAACAAATTTTATCCCAACACTTGGAACTTCTAAAACAAGAGAACATTAAATGAAAACAAAACTAGACATTTTATCCATGATCAAGAATACCATAATACAAGCATTCTTTCAAGTAAAGGAATTTCAATTTAAGAGTAATTCTAAAGCAGTCAATGCATTAGGCATCATGATTAGAAGTTCCTTTCCTCTTGTAAAACGGCTCACTTATTTCTTTAACAAGAAAGACTAATAGCAAAGAGGTAGGACCTGCATATTAGTTTTGTCCACCTAATAAAACTTCTGTTAAAACATTCTTATTCCGAAAGAAAAAAGAAGAAAAGCCATGCATCCCATTTAATAAGTATGGCTTGGAAATTAAGGGAACAAATGCTGATAGTACCAGTCGAAGTGCAGCATTCCTTCCAAATTCATCTCCGTTGTTAATCACATCTCGAAGAGCATATGGAAGAACCCTCCAAAATTCACCAACAAATTCTGAACCCTTTCGCCTGCTGTTCTGCAATATATCATTGGCAAGATATAGAAATGCCAATCTTTGTTCACGAGGAGAACAATGGAATTGTCTGTCCCATGTTTCAACAACCGGTTTGGCTTTATTCATATGAAAAATGCACCAATGAGACAAAGCTGAATCACATTAAGGTTTGCAACCCAATATATATCTTATTGTAATTGTGCACGTGTTTGGTTTCACAAAGTCTCCAATATAAACATTTTGACTTTGTCTATAAAAAGATGAGAAGATATACTTAGGGGTAGTTAAAGTTTCAATATTATTTTATTTTATCTCTAATTTCTAAAATAGGAAAATTGGCAATTATGCAATATGGAACTTGTTATATAAATAGAAAGGAGGGCACAACTAGCACTCATGCAAGAATTTAAACCTCATAACAATTTCTAGTCATTAATTTCATTATCATCTCATGGTAAAAAAAGTTGGTAATAGAGTATGACCAAATAATCGAAAAACAATTTTATTTAATAACTCAACAAGATTTACCAAGAACAAAGATAGTACTACCCAACAATAAAAATAAGCTGTCTGACCACACCAAAAAAAAAAAGGCTGTTGTCCACCACATATTTTATAGTAGCGAGGCATTGGACTCTGGATAATTTGTTCTATAAAGATGGACCTTTTAGGTTGTGAAAGAGATCTTAAAAAGGACAAGGAAAATGGCCAAGGGTAAAGGTCAAATCCATTGACTCTTAACCTTAGATTTCAGAAGTAGAATAGCTGTGTACTTATGTAAGTTTATTTGTTCATTTAATATTAATTAAATTACATATAATTATAGAATAACAAAGGCAAATTACACAACGAAGTACTTAAATCTTAAATTGAAATATGAATTGATCTCATTTATCTTAGATAATTTTATGTGAGTCTAACCCTTACACTAGTGTCAATTGATAACCAAAAAAAGGGGCATGAGGGTGCCTACCAACCCTTGCCGAAGGTAGATTCACTTTACATGGCTAATCTAACACAATTAAATAATGATTAGATAGCATAAGCCCCAAGACCAAGCTCACTCAATAAAGTGACAGCGGAAAACAACTTGAACAATACAAATATTGAACACAAACAGCTTAAAGTTTGATCATAAAAAATTCTCAAAGGATACTCTCTATGCTCGCCTGAGAACTGTTCAGCTTGGTTAACTTTTCCACCAATATCTGCGGATTGAATGTGCTACCCATTTTTCCTTTCTGAATAGACCAGGCACAACCGATCAAACCAAAAACAACAACTTCTATAATAACTTTAGAGAAGAAAGCCTAAGAAACATAAAATTCAGGAAACAATTAAACTCTAGCAGATAAGTTAGAATACATCACATAGATATGCGACATATATGAATGATATACAAGTATATGTGCTATTTATCAAAATAATTAAACAAAGGAAACAAAGGAATACTTCAAAACAAAATATTGGAACATAGGGACCCTAGTCTTAAGATTTACACAAAGAACCAACAGTAATCATGTCACAACTCATAAATTTAACTTTTCCAAAAGGAATACCATATCAGGTCTATTAGATGACTCAATGTCCTAAAGTAGCATGCATGAACACTTGTAGCCTAGGTTTTCATATGTTCATCATGAGTCTGATTTTAAATAGTGATCATTTTGAGGGGGGAAAAGATAGATATACAACTTTCGTTGGCAAGTATACCAAAGTTGTAGACTTGGTATCTGACACATCACAGTCAAAAAGGTCCACAAGGTAGAACAAGGCAATACTCGCCACTGTTTTGGGATCCACTCATCTTCATGCATGTTAGGGTTTGTGAATATCACTCCGAACACATCCACTCCACAAGGCGGATACACTTAATGGACAGGGTCAAACTAGATCCATTTTTCTTTTTGGAAGATCATAGATGACCGATGGATTCTAAAAGAATTCCACCCATAATGGGGAAGTTTTGTGGCCTGAACCTTACCCTTCATTTTTAAAAGGTCGAAATTCTTTTCTTTCTCACCATCAAGTATTGCCCAGGGAAAATCCAGTTGACTTAAGCCCATTGCAATGCAAATCATTTCATCATCAATCTTTCCACCACTATCAAAATCTAATTTCATCAACTTAGAGTAAAAATCAATCTTTCAGGTGTTTATAAGCCTTCCACATCAACCATCATAGGTTTAAGGAATCTGATTAAAATTCCTCGAGGTTTTCTCTCAATAATCTTAAATCTCTGAGAGGGGAGACTAGCAGGTTAAATATTCCGTACTATCATACAAGTATTATACATTTTTGGCCACTCGACATTCATGTAAACTTCATACTATATATGCTTTTCTATTTCAGACCCCTTTACAATTAAATCCCAGCTCCTCCCGTGTTTTTGTACTTTCCCATTTTCTCTAACTACTATTTTTAAATTTTATTTTTTTGGCTAGGCTTATATGCTAGCAATTCCCTTTTTGCTTCCAATTAATTAGACAAAGGCAATTAAAGAGCTCCCAATAAAGCAGAAAAAAGTCTAAAGATGCTCGTTTGGCAGTGGTTGGTTAAAGGCAATCCGCTTCTGGTGTGAGAGGCACTAATCCTGAATAGCACTTTGCCTCAACCCCTTCGATGCTGAAGCGAGTGCATCACATTGCCGTCCATATGGACATTCACACAGCATGCTTAGCAATCCAAATGACATCAAAACAAAGCGACAACCAAATCACATTACAACAGATAATCAGCACCACAATTACGAAAGAAATTTCAGACTTCCTAATAGAAGTTTCTTGGTAAAATGATCAAAATCTGTATCTGTATCTGTATTATTTACAATTTATATTATCCTATCAAGGTAAAACAGTTATATTGACTCTATTCCCCTCAACATCAAGCAGTAAGAATAACCAAGATGGCTATTAACTATGAACTCGCATTGCAAAACAGCAACTCCAATATTAATAGGGAGGCCGTGAATTCAAATAGAGTACAAAACCACCCTGTTTAGGGGAGGGCATTCTATCAGGTCAACCTACAGTGTCAAAATTTTCCAATTCACTCACATTTTTCCATACTTCCTCATCCTTTTAATACGATTCCATCAACAGAGACAAAGCCGGGGACAATAGTCACTTGAAAAATTAAGGGTGCATGTAAAGCCCCTCTTTAATCGTTAGTTAAACAATAAAAAACTCACATTAATGCCCACCAGTGTAAATCATAATCAACGTAAATGCCACCTAACCCCCCCCCCCAAAAAAAAGAAAATTGATAAATATCAGCATTGCTTTTAAACCAAAATAACAGAAATAGCACCGCTGCACAAAACAGTAAGCATTGGCCAGAATCTCACAAATGAACAAAGATGAAATAAAAATATATAAAAGAACAAGCAATCAAACAAACGAGGGTAAAAAAACCAGCACAAAAACATAATACGGAAGAGAGAACGAGTACAATCGAATGTTTCCTCCCCTCCCCTGCAACCAAACAGACCCTAAGATAAAGAACGTGGCAGGTACATACCAGTGTCTAAGAATGCAGATGGAGATACGCGAAGAATTAATGGCCGATGATTAAAGCGCGCTGGAGTTTTCACCTCATGGCGGCGCGGAAGGGTTTGGGGATTTCTGGTTGAGTTTGACGCCCTTGGGAGTGGAGCAAAAGAGAGAGGATAGTGCGTGTGCGAAACACCGCTCTCAGAATGGAAGTTATTGAAAAGAAAAGGCTCTGCGACTATCCCAGGAGGTGGCAGCGTAAATACGAAGTTTTGTCGGACTCTTCCCTCCCTTACCAAGTGCTTGGTGCTTATTCAGCGGTTCGACGACTGTTCCACTTCAACGGCGTCGCTTCCATCCGTCATCTGAAAACAACGTGGGAGGGGATAAGGTAAGGAGGTTCTGTTGGATGAGAATCATCTTTTTTAAACCCTTTGTTTTCAATTTTTTCAATCTATTTTATTTTAATGTTTTTTAATAATTAAATGAGACCCGCAAAGTAAGAAAAATTAGCCGGGTCCTCCAAAACTTGTAGGGAATAAAGGTCTCCTTTGATATTGAAATAAAATAAATTAAAAAAATAAAAAGTCAAAGTAATATGATCTCTATAAATTACACTCACAAGAGAGAGAATTAGTTTATAGGATTGAGAATAATTATTCATAAAATTTCTTAAAAATGTGAAGATTTCCTCATTTCTAGTATATATTAATAAATTTTATCACGCTTTCCATAAATATAAATGGTGATTTAGTTTATTTTTATTTTTTTTTTAATTAATTCCTTTCTAATAGGGTTGCATGAAAGATTGACTTTACAGGACTTTGGCCTAACTCGAAATCTGATTATTTTCATCAAAATGATTGAGTTAAGCAACTCGCAGTCTGGTCTGATCCTTGTATGACCCAAAGTTAAACAAAACCAAATTGGTTTAGTAAGACTAGGAGACTGATCCTGATCTTGTCCAATATCTCACTTTTTTCTCTTTTATTATCCATGAGAGTTAGCAATTTATTTTAACATGATAAACTCAATTAACATAATAAGATTACTTATAGTTATATAAAATTTATCACAGCGATAACAATTATAAATTCACAACAATCTCCAACAACAACAACAACAAAATTTAAGCTACAACACAAATTATTCAAATTAAACAACTTTCAACATGTCTAAAATTCATTACATTAAGCTAACAATAAATTTCACCAATAAAAGGAGAATATTGAGATTACTCAATACTAGAATTTTACTCAATATTTATGACTTTACAAGTATAAAATACTAATTATTATTATAAATTAACTTATTGTAATAATAATTAATAAATTAATTATAATTATATTAAATAAATTTATAGAATCGGATCAGACCAAGTGGTTTAGATGCTTGATCTTTTGTCCAGTTTTACTTGAATAAAGAGTATGATCTTTTTTGGTCTTAAAGGACTAATTTTTATCTAGACTGAATAGGATCAAATTTGTCTTGGGTTGGACTAGACTGCAGCAGACTGAAAAACTTTTGTACAGCTCTACTTTCTAATGATCAAATGGAACTAAAGAGTTGGACGACAAATGAGCCAAAGCAAGACTAGCCTGCCAAACAAATGGTTTGGCTTATAATCTTCCCCTTTTCAATTATAAGACACTCACTTCTTTAAAATAAATAAGAAGTGATCAAGTCATTAACTTTATTCAAAAATAAAATAAATTTTTAAGTTTACTCCCACTTTAGTAGAGAATTTTTTAATTTGCGTTACATCCCCTCCCATAGTTAACAGGTTTAAATAGATATAGTATTAGACAAAATATGATTAACATTTCATGAGGTGCCTTGTATTAAGAACCAACCATCAATTAATTTTTTTAAAATGTGTCCTGTAATAAGAACAAAAGAGTGTTTATTTTAGGTATATATGTACCAATTAACAAATTAAAAACAAGTTCTTTCAGTTTCATTTACTATTAACAGGTTTCCAAATATTTAGGGTCTGTTTGATTCGAGAGGAGGGAAGGAGAGGGGAGGGGAGGTGAGGGGAGAGGAGGGAAGGGAAAGGGAGGGAGAAGAGAGGGAAGGGAGGGGAGGGGAGCTCCCCCCAATTTGAAGGGGAGGCTTTGGAGGGGAGGGAAGGAAAAATTTTAAAAATTTTCCCTCCCCTCCTCCTAACCAAATGAGGAGAGGGAAGAGGAGCCCCTCCCTCCCCCCCAACCAAACGGAGCCTTAAGGTTAATTAAAAGTGTGTGAAATAAGCGCATTACCCTTGATATCTATCCATGTGATCGGTCACCGAGCAGCATTCACTATTCACTAGTTGTTGCTAATTGATGGGTGATCGGCATTGACCGGTCATTGAACAATATTGACCATGTATGGCGCTGATCAAATAAATATATTTTGTCTTGGTGGTTGTTTAATCTAAACACCCACAATTTAATGTTTTGCAAACAGATTCTCATTTCACAAGTTGAGTTACACCACTTACAAGTCTAATTTTCACATTTATAAGTATAATCACGTCAGTCACAAATAATCATACATATATATTTTTCCCACGAGCTCTTCAAACATGAGAAAAACAGCATGTAAATTAAATTATGGAACTCCGACAACTTCAAAGTGTAAAATTGTGAATTACAGACACAAAAATGATCAATTGAAAATAACACGACTTGTTAGCCAGCTGCCGGTTAACAGTCAGCCAGCAGTCCCAAGCTGGTTAACATAGTTAAAGGGCACTGAAGTCATTCTCACGCTTTTCCAATTTACTTTCAAGTCCATCCAGACTTGTTACTAATATCTAGAAGATCCCAATGATCTTTGATGCTGGTATTTTTCCAGATAATACTCTTGCATGGAGCGGTGATAAGGTCCTCGTCTCCATCCAAGGGACTCTAGCGAAGAAATTTTTGCCATTCCCTTCCCTCTGCCACCCGCACAACACCCCAAACACAAAAAAAGAGAAGAAGAAGAAGACCAATTTTATCGAAGCAAAATTCGAGTGGCCAAGTTTCTTCCAGACCTGACTTTCAAATCTAAATAATGGGTGATTTGTTTGACCATATTTTGTGGCCTGCGACGAAAGTTTGATTCACCCCGGCCGTAAACTCGTCTTCTTGACCTGAAAACTAATCTTCAAGTGCTAACATATTACCTCTAAGAGATGTCGTAAACTCCCATCACCTTTCAAATAGTAACCCTTGCATTTTTTGTTGCAAAGCATTGGAAAACACCGGATCACCTTTCCAATAATGTGGTTTAAAGATTGGAATACAATTGGTTAAAAAAAACTTTGAATACAATAAAAAAGGGCGATACAGAGTTGAGACCATGCCCAGAAATTCAAACTAAGTTTTACAGAAACAAAACTGATAATTTGTGCGATGCAAATAACCTGCCGTACGTTGCTTCCCAAACAACGGACTCATCCTAGCTGCTAAGATCGAGCCTAGGACCTTTTTACGGACTGATCATACGCATACATACATATCTATATCCTTCATCCTTGTTTGTCTCTTTGTTTTTTTTTTAAGTAAAAATTATACGTATGGATGTATAATTTATATTACACTAGTTTCCTTTTAGACATGAACTGGGGATTCCCAGAAAAGAGGTCATCGATGTAAGTCTCTATATCCTCAGGCTGGTACTTTATATACTTCTCTGTTTGTCTCCCCGCAGTCAAATTCTGAGAAAACCTCCCCACGAACGCTCTGTACGCTGGAATGACCAGCCCAGCTACCGAAACCCTCAGCTCTGACTGAAGCTGCTCGTCGTTCACAATCCACGAGTTTTGCGTCTTGTGTACCTCATCGAACATTGTATTGAAGCTCTTGAACCTCTCCTTCAGAATTGGCTTCTGCACTTTTCCGTTCACGGTCAAACCTTCAGGGTTTAGACAACGCAATATCTTACTCCATGATTCCCTCTGGTAGTTCTTATGCTGCGCCCTTAGATCCGAAGACTTCTTCCGACACCACGTGTTCCCCAACAGTTGGTATATCTCCGACGACCCTTTGATCTTCTGCAGTATGTACCTGCCGTTGTTCATCATGAAGATGCAACCCAATGACACGTCCTTGTACAGCTTCGCCTTCCCTTCGAGACTTGCGTCCAGCAATTCCATCACCCTCATCACCTGCTCTGCGAACGGCGACTCCTCCTTGCCGTCGTCTCGATCACTCTCCTGATGATTCTGGTGTGATCCCCTGGTTGGGTCAGCGCCCTGAAGCTTTGCGTGCTCCTTGAAAACCTGCTCTAAGGTGTCCTTGTACTCGCAAGCGTACGGGAGATAGTTCATGACGTAGCGAGTCAGTGGGTGAACCGCTCCGCCGGGAACCGCAGTTTTTCCCGCTTCCGCTTTGATCGAATTCTCTAGGTCACAGAATATGCTTATCGCGGCCTCTCCGAGTCTACTTCTCGCCGACGCCGTCTCGGCCTTGAGCTCACCACCACGCTCTTCCGTGAGTAAACGGTTCAAGGCGGAAATCACCACCCCCAAGGTCTCGCACATGTCGAGGAATTTGAATAGCTTCTCGGCGGAGCGCTTCGTCATGGCTACTCCTTCTGCGAAATTGAGAAGCTGTATGACGACGCCACGAGTTAGATTGCTGTAGAGGCCAGCCCCTACCGACGGGTGTTCTTTAAACACGGATTCCACGAGCTTCAGTTCGCCGGGGAAGTAGTTACAGGCGCATTCCTTGAAGGTTGTAACCCACGTAGGAATCTCTTTCTCTAACGATTCCCATGGCAGTTTCTGAATCTCATCAATGCTGATTTTCTCGAACCCTAACTTATGCAGTCTCTCTTCAAATGCATTTCTCCTTGAAATAATATAAACTTGGCAACATTCAGATTCATATCCAGACAATATCATCTCCCTGGCTATCTTGTTCAAACTGGTTATGGTGTCCTCAGAATAACCCGGAAAATCCGAATGCTCAGAGTCCGGCGGTGCGCAAGGGTCATGCTCTACCTGCTTCCCTTTCGGATCATAACCAGTCGACTCGAATTCTCCTTTATATTGATTTCGATATTCTTCCATGAGCACCCGGAGCACCTCCTCCAAATACGACATGGCCCCCTGTCGCATGACCCCGATGCGGTTGACCAACGAATCTTTCCGTTCGTTGACATGCTGCGAGGAACATTGCGACTGACTCAGCATCTTGGAGAGCTTATAAATCCGATTCACAGATTCCAGGAAGGAAGAATCTTGCTCCGGCACCTCGCCCCATCTCGTTCTGCCTTCTCCCGCGTCGTACGTGACAATATTTTCTTCGACGAGATCCAAGAACTTATCAACGCAATCAGGGATCTCCGTGATATCTGCATTCTGGTGCAGCATACTCTCAACAACCCATGAATCCACGTCTGCCGAAAGCTTGCCGAGGTTGAGAGGACACTTAGGCACCTCATCTGTGGCCTCTCCCTCTGTAGCAGAGTCCGCCTTAGCATGATCATCGTGTTTGGCAATGTTATCATCGTCGGGATTCCTTGGTTCCAATGATGCATGATGAGGCGTCTCGCCGGCGTTGTTCTCCTCGTCTTTGTCAGAATTTTCGGCAAGCTTTTTCTCCATTGTGGTTGTGCCAAATATGATTCGTTTCTCTTGGAAAAAAAAAACCGAAAAGAGAGAATGTTTCAAAATGACAAGCGCGAAGACGGAGGAGAATTATCCGTTCACGTTGTTCAATTCTCGCTGCTTTTTTATTTTCCATTTTTTTAGGGGGCACTGGATTGAAATGGTCGTTGATCATTGGTACGGTGCATTTGTGTGACAAAAGAAGGCGAGAAATATGGCCGATGGAAACGAACGGACAGAATCTTCTGCGGAAGCTCCAGCGAGAGAGACTATACCCTGTTTCTTGTTTAAGAAGCGTTGACTGTTGACTTTCCGTACCAACTCATATTATTTAAAGTTATTTATTCATTTGAAAGGGAAAACGGGTGTTTGTGCTTCCCAGTTCCCACTATCTAACTTCTTTCTTTCTTTTTCTTTTTTGTTTCTGATAGGAAAATTAAAAATACATCATTGCCCCTTGTTGTCAGAGGCGGTGCGTAATGCGCGCCACTCACGGATTGGGTCCGGGTTATAACGATATAGTGTAAGTTCGTTTTCGACAGCCGACAATTTTTCCTCACTCCGAATCATCATCGTTGTTCAGATCCAGTTAAACAGGAAGGAAGCTGACCTCAAAGCGGTTTGAGCTGGAAAGGATTGGTGATAGGAGGATGAAGGAGAAAGACAGAGAGAAAATGAGGTATGGAGGTAGAAGGAGAAGACCATTCCTGCAACCATTTCTTTTATTATTTGCTATGCTAGCTGGCTTCGGGCTCTTCATGCTTGCTCTTAGGCCGTTAGATCCTCCGATTCGCGTGGATTTCCCTGGAGACTCCGAACTCGAAGATTTGGATAGCTCGAGTTTGGATGGTGGTGGTGGAAAGCCGAGGAACAGTGGAGTAACACCATGTGCAACAGTGGAAGAGATGGGCAAGGATTTCAGAAGAGGTGTTTGGAGCGAAAACCTGAGAGTGAGAACAATGATTGAAAACCATTTCGTTATGAATGGTACTCTCGCTTCCTTGTTTGCCTTTCTTCATATTTTTACAATTGGATTTACCTCTTTCCACATTGGTTATCTGCCCAATGATTTTGGGTGGGATGAGAGTATGAGACAGTTGTTTGTTTGACGTATAGCAATTAATTTTCAAGTTTCTTCTGGGAGATGTCCCATTAAATTGAAAGGCTAATAAGCATAAGCTTTACCCACTCAATCAATTCATTGCTTGTCGGTGGATGCGTCTGAGCTTCTTCTCTTTAAAAGTATAACGAAGAAAGATTGCAACATAACTACCGGCTTTAACTAGGCTCATAGATTTGTTACTGGGTATCATCTACATTTTTCCTAGATAATATGCTTGATGCATTTGCAAATTCTCCTACTGTTTACAATTTCCTTAGTTAACGGTGTTCTGTTAGCAGCAGTGATGTCTGTAGAATGAGCACCATCCCTAATTTGAGGCCAATACTGGATAGCTCTGTTATGTCATGTTTCTTTGCTTGTGATTTTTATTCCAAGTTTTACGTGCATATGTTTCACGGCAAGACTATTTCTTTGTACTTGTGACACAGTTTTTACACCCATCGGATGGATTGTGCATCTGTAAGCATTGGTGATCAATACTAAATCCAACTATTTTATACTATAGTATCTATTCTTATAATTATAATTATTTTTTAGAAAAAAAACTGTAAATAGTAATAACAATGTCACAATAGTAACATAAACATTAAATGGGAATGCTTCTGTAAACAACAGTTCTTAATTGGACAGTGATACAGATTAATTATGTTTCAGGTGCTTCAAGAGTCAGGGATCTCCCCTCAGAGCAGTTCTGTAGTCATGGTTTTGTTCTGGGGAAAACTGCCGAGGCAGGTTTTGGGAATGAAGTGTACAAGGTCTTAACTGCTGCAGCACTGAGTGTGATGTTAAACCGATCCTTGATCATTGGCCAAACCAGGCATATTGGTTCTTTCTCAAGCCTTTCTTTTTCATTTAAGAAATAGCTGTTACTCTCTTGTTGGCATCTGAATTTCTAAGTTCTAACAAATGGTTCATTTTAGGATATGCACAGTCCATTGACCATGAGTCCATGACTCCTATGTGTTAGCTTTTAACAGTATCTGGTCCCAGAAACATTGAGCAATTGCAAATACCAATTTATGTTCATGCAGTTTTGTGATTTTTGTCAGTTTAAATGGATTGTTTATGCCACTAGATATGAAAACTGTCAGTCTGCCATTAATGGATTTGTGAAGATACTCTGGCCTGATAAAATGACATATTGGAATCAACTGTCGATATGGATGATTGGTTTATTTATTTATTTTTTATCTTTCGTTCGTCTCATCACCACCTTTCTTCTTCATTTCAGAGGTAAATATCCTTTTGGGGATTACATTTCTTATTCCAACTTCACCTTTACCATGAATGAGATCAAGCATTTATGGAGAAGCCATGGATGTGAAAGCAAATATGGGAGGCAACTGATTATGAGGGTTGATGATTTTGAAAAACCTCATGAAACTAATGTTCTATGTAGCAATTGGAAGGAATGGGAGCCTCCTATCATATGGTAAATTAAGATTGTTTATACTCATCAATATTACAATTTTCAAGCATCAATGAAGAACTATTGGCCTTATTTTGTATAGGTTTCAAGGAACTACTGATGCTGTAGCTGCTCAATTTTTCTTGAAGAATATACACTCCCAGATGAGAATGGCTGCTTTTGATTTATTTGGTGATCCAAAAGTGCTAGACTCTCGCCCTAATGTATTTGGGGAGCTCATGAGAGTTCTTATATCCCCTACAAAAGAAGTGCAGGAAGCTGTCAATTGGGTTATCAATGGTGGAGAAGATCCTGACATCTCATTACATATGCGAATGCTTATGAATAGGTAATTTGAGTACTAACCAGTATCATTGAGAGGGCTATCGCGCTTGATTGATGTTTGAGGTCTGTGGCGCCTCTTTCTTGACATGGTCGTAGTTTTGTTTCTTAGTATGCCTATGCTCCCTATCTCTGTCCTCTTGCTGTTTATATTAATTAATGGAGTGGGATTTAACCTTTGACTGCGGATATTCCTCAAATTTTATGTAGATCAAAAACCTTATTTTAATCTGTTAATGGCCTAAGTATGATGCATATACGGGTAATAAGATGACCATGAATGACATTTTTGCATCAATATATATTCACATATTTTCTTTGGAAGTCCGGAGCTCCTTCTCAAGTCTTTCATTTGGGCGATGTTACTTAATTGGATTAAAAAAATGGTTTGTAGCAAATTTGCAGATTTCATGCAGTGCTTCTCTCTTGATAGAGGCATTGCATGCCACTCTAGTTTGCAAGCGATAACACTTACTAACTTTAGGGTAAGACTTTTTATCTCCTCCTTTGTTGTCTTGTTTCCAAATTAAAAGCTCAGGTCAATCACTTATTTTGTGTCCGTTTTGCAAGGAGATATTAACAGAGGGCATCTTTAGAAGACCCAAATAGGGTTTTAAGTTCAAAGAGATTGAATGTCTTTGTTGTTTTTCCCCTTTTTGGGAGATAATTTAGCTCTCTGTTTTCTTTTAGAGAGGATTCCTTGTCAACCAACCGGAGCCAGATATGCTCTTCTCTTACTTTTTGATTATATTTTGTCCTCCTCCCCCTCCTTCTATATATGGGTATGTATGGGTCATTTTCTTTCTTTAATAGTATTCTAGTATCCAGATGGAAATAAATCTACATTTGTATATGTCTGAATCATAAAATTTTGATGTGTGTAAATAAACTTCCTACCTTTGCAGGGGCATTTTTTTTGGCTTGTCTCCATGGGCTATAATATAGGGAAGCTGCTGTTTTCGTATTCTTGGCACACAAGTTTTTCTGATTCTCATTATCTTGACCCTTCGTTTGTTAAATTGTTTTCCCTTTCAGATGCATCTGTAACTCCCTTCTGCATGATGCTTGATTCCCTCTGACATACATTCAGAAATTATTCTAGGATTCGATGACTGTGGGATATGTCTCGGTTTGATAGTACTTCCTCAAAACAGAGCTTCACTTTAGATTCAAGCCAATTGTTGAGTTGATCAACATAGTTCCTGGTCAAATATCATGTCTTAAGCAATCTTTTTTGTTTTTGTCCCTCCTCATCACCATCTCATTATCTTTTGTGGCACTATTTGGTTCTATATTCTCCAATCTGTTGGCATAAAAATTAAAAGAAATAATCATGAGAAAGAAAAACAGCAACCTTGACTTGGTGCTGTATTCATTGCTACTGCATCGACCCTTTTGTGGCAAAGTATTTGAAGTAGCAAGCTGATAAATATTTCTCAGTGTAGACATTATAAATGGTATTAAGTAGTCAAGAGATGCTGCTTTGGGTACCTCTAATGTTTGTTCGTCTTCCATGCTTTGGAGGAAGATATTTTTTTAATCCTTCAGAGTAGCGCATAAACACAAGCAAATTTGGCTCGCAGGATATTTCTTCAATTGAATGGTGGTGGTTTTTATGTCCTATTTGACAGGTCCGTAAGAGCGGTACAGGCAGCACTGCGTTGTGTTAAAAAAGCCATACAGAGTCAAAACTTTACTTCAAGACCAAAGGTGGTTCTGGTGTCAGATACACCTTCTCTTGTTAAAAGTATAATGCCCAACATAAGCGAATTTGCAGAGGTGAATTTTCGTTATTTATTTGGCATTAAGTCATGTAAATGCCAGTGTATGATGAAAATAATGGGATTATGCCATCTTCTGTGGTTCCAGTTTCTTGCGTTTTCATTATTGAGTTTTAGTAGTCTACTTCCCAAACATGATCAGTGAGGCCATCATCTATGAATGTAAAATCTGTGTGCATTTAACAGTTGTTCATGTGCTTTTCTCAGGTCCAACGATTTGATTATGAAAATTACAGAGGAAATATATTTAAAGGAATGTCCCGTCTAGATTTTAGAGTGAAGGATTGGGGCCCTGCACCCAGATGGGTTGCTTTCGTAGACTTTTTTCTTGCATCTCGTGCAAGACATGCTGTTGTTTCTGGAGCTCACAGGCGTGTTGGGACTACCTATGCTCAGTTAATTGCTGCACTGGCTGCAGCATATAATCTGGGTATACCTCCACTGCCTGATTCTTCCGACTTATTCAATACAGATCCGTGACTTCGTTATCTTTATTTTTTTAAACATACTGCTGAAGCGCTTGAAAATGGTTTACTCCAGGAAATAACTCTGCCAGTTCAAGCTTTTCCTTTCTGAGCAGTTTCCAGAGTAACTTGTTGAGTGAGGGCCTAAAGAACCAGATTGGTTGGGGCCATGTGTGGAACAGATACGCCGGGCCGTTGAGCTGTCACAACCAAACCCATCAATGCGCCTTTGCGCCTCTAATCCCTCCAGCTTGGTGGGATAGCCTCTGGCAATCTCCCATTCCGCGGGATATTAATCGTCTGGCTTCCTATGGCATGCAGGTATCTGCTTTGGGCACAGTGGACAGTGATTCTCTTCAGACTTTCTGTAATTCAAGGAAACCTGTTGTGAAAACCATCCCTATCAAACTCTAGTTTCTGCAAATCACAATCCATTGCATTCGTTTTTGGATGATCGTAATAATCAGTGCGGTAGCGTTAGATATCTCGCTCCTTTCTGAATTTAAGTTTTCTTAGTTCATTACCTACCAATTTTATTAAATATCAAGGACCTAGAAATATATGGTTTAACAAGAAGCAGAATATTCTATTAAAAAAGAATAAGAAGAAGAAGAAAGCACGAGTTCCCTGGTGGAGTCGCCTAAAAGGGAAAGGAGGCAGCTACGTAGCATGTAATTATGTACACATAGCGGTGATGTTAGGTCTTTTTTGTTCATCATAATTTTGTACCTTTAAGAATTAGGGAATTCACTGAAAATTTGTACATTTGTCTGTGAAATAACTGTTATACATGTATTTTTTTCCATTCAGTTTAACTTGATTAATATTTTTCTTAAATTTCTTGTTTCTTTTTCTCTGTTGTTTTTTCATTTTTCTTTCCTTCTCTCAATTACTCCTTGATGGCCAGATAATATGGAAAACTTTACACACTGGTTATTCCCTCTTTAATTCTTGATCTGCACTCAATCAATGTGCACGCTGCACATACGTGTATTGTTATTGAAATTCAAATTTGTTTACAGGTTCAAGAGTAAGCTCGAGATAATGTTAGTGGGTAAATCTCATTAAGTAACTTAATGAAAATATTTTATTTGAATACCACAATTTTAAGCTTTTTTTTGGGGGGGGGGTCGGAGGCCCAGTCTGCGCCATTGACCACGTGGATCTGTCCATTCTTTTGCAGGAAAGACCAATTTAAGTCAATTGCCTGACTAGGATGACAAATTCACGTCCTTTTCTGGTTTGTCCTTGGAATGGCGCCCTTTTTCCACATCCTCGTTCTGTGTCTCTCCTACTGGGAACATCTGATGCTCCAAGTAGGCTTTATCACCATAGATAGGTCAATGGCGACGATGGTCAAGAGCCCAAAAAAAATAAAAAAGCTGATGGGACTCGCAAGGAATCCTCCTCCATTCAAAGATCCTGTTGCTCTGTTATGACTTACGAGTTGAGGGAAGGACGCCAACTTAAATTCTCAAAGCCCCGCGATTTTTTTTTTTCGAATATGAACATGAAATATTTATTCAACAGAATGTAAAAACAAATATAGGAGCCAAAACAAAAAAAAAAAAAAAATAAACCAACCATCCTTAATCAGCTAAAAGATGGGGTATCAAAAATACTAAAGTCCCGCAATTTTGATCCCCATCATGTCTATATTATTAGGGTTGAAAACTAAACTTCTGTTAATTTTGAAATAAATTAAGCTGCAGCTAATTATTTTTAACATCTAATAATATTTAAAAGATAACGCAAGTTCAACTTAGGAAATGTAAAATTGATAAGATATTTTGTATATTGACTTCTAATTGATCTTTCATTTTAAATAAATCTTCAATTCTTTATAAAGTGCAACCAATTACGTTGAAAACTTTCAAACCTACAAAATATTCTAAAAAATTAACAGGGTTTAGGTCGAATTATAGGGCGGGGGAATTAAAATTTACCCTTTACTCATACTAAATGGCCTAAATAACAGAAACATCCTCAAATTTGGAGGCACATCAGTTAGTAAAATTGGATACCGCCTCATGGTGATTTTTCCATTTGGTGCTTGTCTTAAAAAAAATCAGGGACGATTGTTTAAGATTAAAAAATAAATAATTTTTAAATAATTTAGAGATTTTATAAAAAAAGATTTATTTTATAGGAATTTTATAAAAAATATACATTATTTTATGTTTGATTAAAATAATAAAAATGATTATTAGTTAATTATTTTTAAATTTTATATCTTCTTCATTGATTTTATTTTATAAAAATTATTTATTATTATATTATTTTAAAATTTTATAATAACTTTGCATATCTCATCTCTTTAAAGCATACACTCTCATCTACAGTATTATATTATTTTTAGAGTAGCTTCTTAGAATAATCAGAAATATATTTTTTTTAGATTTGAATTATTTTTAAAAGTTAAACAAACACCATAGAACTCACAAGATAGATTTTTTTGCAAACATAAGTGATTTTTTAAATAAATAAGCTAAAACAAATGGACCTTTAACTATAGTGCATTTTGGAGCTGTTAGTTTAAAATTTAAAAATAAATAATTTTTAAGTAGTTTAAATATTTTATAAAAAGAGATTTATTTTATAGAGATTTTATCAAAAACAGATATTCCTTTATCTTTGATTAAAATAATAAAAAATAATTATTAGCTAGTTATTTTTAAATTTTATGATACTTTTTTTATTTTTAGTTTATAGAAATAATTTATTATTATATTATTTAAAATCTATATGATAACACGTTCGTTTCTTCGCTTACATCCTTCGGGCTTCAGACTGTCGCAAAAGTCACTGCACCACGACAAGAATGCATCTCTCGAAACTTGCGATTTTTCAATAATTTTGGCATTTTAGGTTCAGGTACAAAGGCCTTTATTGGCCGCGTGATTGAGTATCCTCAAACTATTCAAGAGATTAAGATTAGGGTGAGATACAGATTTAATCCAAAATCCACCGGTAATCGAATGAATTCTTCTTATCCGCTTCCGAAAGAAATTACAAGTCCAGTGATTTGCTTATAGGATCCCCTACTTAAAGGGGAAGCTCATGAATTGCTTGCAAAGGGAAGGGAGTCTAAATAAAATAAATTATCTTTTCTTATTTCTGCTTTGACTTTCATTTTAGCGACACTGTGATGCATGGCATTATCTGATCACGCTTGAATTTTCAACATTAATATCCAATGAGTACAACTTACTAATACTAGTAGAGAGAGAGAGAGAGTAAGTGACAGGAAGGGTGTGGAAAGCGGATTGTGGAAACAATCATTGATTTGAACAGGTATAAACTTTACCTATTAGCAATAATCGCATTTACGATGCATGGTTTTTTTAACACAGGACTGCATTCGCGATCGTCTGCAACTCGAGGGACGGATTCGTCAACCAATTATGAGGTATTTGGACCAAGAGCTGGCCGCAGCAACACAAAATTTTAGTCCTGACCTGTTTATCGGGCAAGCTCGTGGATTTGGACCTGTTGATCGGCCAAGGTAAGTACCTACCTTTGGGATCCTTAAACGCTCACCTACATGGTAATATATATATATATATATATATATGATACGAGCATCTGGGTTTGGCCCCATGGCATCGCTTTCATTTGTGATTCAAAATCTCGTGCTCCTGTAAATTGTTCTGTTCTATTACTCCCATACTGTAATCGTGATGATCTGATTATGATATTTGTGCAGACCTTAGGCCTCATGATGCGACACTTGATTGGGATACAAGAATTCTGATAGCTTCTGAAACTGCAAAAGCATTAAATTATCTGCATCAACAGTCAAACCAGCCAGTCATATATACAGGGACTTAAAATCTTCTAACGTATTATTGGATAAGGGTTTTCTTGCAGCACTGTCTGATTTCGGGCTTGCGAACTTTGGTCCGACTGGAGATGAATCACATGTCTCCACCAAAGTTCCTTGGGTTATATCACCAATGGAAGATTAACACCGAAGTCTGATATCTATAGTTTCGGGATCGTGTTTTTGGAGCTTATTTCTGGACGCAAAGCCTACGATCAAAATCGCGGCCGTGAGAAATGTCTTGCTGAGTGGGTAATGTCAATGACTCACAGATATATAGGTAGTGCGTGATTGCATATGATCATATGAATGATGCCGATGCGTAAGGATACAACTTCTTCCCTCATGACAGGGAGCTTGGTGAGGCGATGATGTTTGTTTGCAGGCAGGCCCACCGATGAGAGACCGAAGGAAAATGGTTGGAAGATTAGGAAAATAAATCTACAAGACCAGATATATGGATATTAATTTATGAATTAATATATTGATTTGCATGTGTTTGAATACGTTGATTTTGCAATTTTTTTTTTTGATATATTGATTTGCACGTACATCAATTGAATTGCAATAGTATAATTTAACCACCACCGTACTCGTAAGCGAATTTTGATTTATGAATAGTTAAATGATGCAAAGGGAGAGTCTTGGAACTGCAAATCTAATTTAAAATTCGATTTAGTCGTCGTCTTCAATTACAGACATACACTTAGCATATATTGATGCGTCTATTCAAGTGTTTTAAAATTAATTTAGTTATTTAATTGGATAAATTCAACAAAATGAAGTCGATATGTTTACATCGCTTTTTTAATTTTTTCTGGTCATTAAAAGGATTTAATAAAGTCTCTATGGCTTGTGTGCTCGGGGGTGTGATTTTTAATACCATTCAAGAGTTCTTATAGTGTCGTTGATAGCGTATCCGATGTACACAGAAGAAACACAGATTAATTTATAATTTATAGTCCATGAAAAGTGAGCCACACGCAATTTCCGAAATACAAAAAGCCAATTACCAAATGAAAAAAAAAAATTCCAATCCAAATATCTGACCATTGAAACAGTATACGAGATGTGAATCTCTTGACTGGGGGCAGTGGGCACCGGCCAATACGCCGTTGCTTGCGTGCATTGAAAAGGCGACGAGCAGCATGGAAGATGAACACAGAGCAGCCGCTATGTTTATTCACTTGTTCTTGCCAGCAAAGAAAAGGATAAGGCATTTTGCTTGAGCAACACTACATTACGTGAATCTCTCACATAAACGGTAAACCAAAGGATCACGTCTCACGTGGTGAATTATGGCCCCCAAGCCTTAACTACCCCTTTTTATTAACCCATGACTTCCTAACTACGAAAAGAAAAGTACTTTTCCCTGGCATCACGCCCTGCTAAGTTGGACTCTACCCACCATCATATTCCATCATTTCATTCCTTTAATGGCTACACATGACTTGCCGGAAACAACGTGATTTATTTGGTAGCTTGTACAAGTATTTTATACACATGTAGAGATATGTATACATATACATAAATATTGATGGGAGGGCCATTTGAACTTGTTAATCAGCAGGTGCGTCTATCATGGGCATTGACAGTGGAAATTTGGTTGTCATCATTGCTGCTGCTTAATTTTTCCTTATCAATTTGTTAATACTAAGAGTATGACGCCAATAACATTTACACCTGTTTTTAATTGGACCGTCATGATTAATCCCCAGACAAAATCATCTCTTTCCCAACCCCCGACTCTCTCTTTTTTTTCAATGGACCATCCCTCAAAAACAAAACTAAAAAAAAAAAATCTCAAAAGAGAAAAGGAAAAGCTATTACGAGGTCCATCCTCCCTCGAAAAAAGCTCACAAACAAATCCACTTGGCTTTGCAAACTTTCTGCTAAACTTTTCTTTTCTGCTTTAACTCATTATATATTTTGCCTCTTCTTTTCTGCTTTTCCTCTCCCCTCCACATAACAACAGAGCGAAATAATCGAAATTTCGCTGTCAAACTAGTTACTATCAGGAAAAGGGTCATCCAGAATAGCGAATGAAGAACCTAACCGATGAGCGATCTAACTTGAAACTAGACATTAGAGAGACAGTCACTTGGGGCTGGGGCCATTCCTCATTCTGCATATCCATCACAGCATCTCTTTCACACACTGACATTTCATTAGAGACAGAGACTCAGGCCTGATACATTATTTATCCACATCACATTGAGAGGGGGAGAGAGAAGGCTAAGAATAGAAGGGAGGGTAAGGGTTGCCTCAATTAATTGTTAATCAAAGCAGGACTCAGCTTAACACTTGATTCCAAAAGCCACCACGTCACGTGCTCTATGCTGTAAAGCACAGACAGACACAAACAGTGGCAGCAATACTGTGAGAGAAAATAGAGAAGAATCCCCGCAGATTAACCAAAAGCAAGCTTCCTCCACCACCACAACTCATGACCAGCGATAAAAGACCCTTTCCGACCCCTCACGCCTTGTCGGCGAACCACCCCAACCTGTTGAGCTCGCCGGGAAGCTTTTAGAGCTTTCCGGTTCTGGTTCTTGGCCGTGCCCATGAATTTTGAACCTTGAAGAGAATTAAAAGCTCAAACCTTTTTCATTTTCAGCATTTCGGTTTCTTCTGGGAGTTGGGTTCTTGCCTGCAGATTTTACAAACTATTTGGGGAGTTGGAAGTGAAAGCGATTGGGTAAATTTTATACCTTTACGATAGATATGTATGTGGTTCCTCCGCCCCAGCGGACCGATCTGGTTTCACGATCCACCGGCGGGCCCAGTGATTTGCGGGTATACCAAGCGTGGAAAGGCAGTAATGTGAGTCCTGGTTCTGGGTTTTATTTCTTCTGCATTGATTTCATGTCTCTTTCTTCTTTGGTGTTGAATATTCGAATTGGTTGTTAAGCTTGGCATGATTTTGTTACAGGACAGCTATTTCTTTCTTTCTTTCTTTGTTCAAGCACATGCAGTTCTTTAAGATATAGGTTACTCCTCCATTGCTGATTATATTTCTATGTTTGTACTGGAATTTATCTGATATCAATGATGTAACCCAGGAATCGGATGGTGAAATAGGCTCTGCAGAGTGTCAGTAAAATTGTGTAGTAGGGGAAAAAATCTGTCAAGGAACTCTCGGGCTCCTCTTAGGTTATTCATAAGGATATTAGAAGGTGCTCTTTCTGTTAGGCAGCTCTGAAGCCTACAATATTTGTTGAAAGGTCTTTTGCTTGATTAATTTGTTAGAAGTAAGTTGTTCATTATATTTTTGTATGATTTGGAAACCGGATCAACACACGTTTCTGTTGCATATTTTAATATCACGTTAAAGAATTTCCATGGTTTTCTTTTGCTGCTGTGGGGTATGCATTCTCTTTGATGAAATATCGGAAAACTAACTTTCCTCTAAGATACATGAATAGCCATAGAGTTAATATGGCCCTTGATTTTGGACCATTGTCTCTGAATCTTGAAATTGGGCACTTGTGACTGGACTGAGGACTGAGTTTTGGAAAAGCTTAATATTGTAAAGAGTTTTTCGATAAGCACAGTAGATTGATCAGCCACAGGTTTCAATTGTGAACCAGAAAAAAATTGCTAGCGATTTTCTCTTGCTGAACCCTTGTGGATAGCAGTGGCCTGTGAGGTCAAAGTTATTATATTAAGGCAATTTTTTTTTCTTTAGAATGTAAATTTTATTTGATTTGCCATAGTTGATCATTTGAATGTCACGCTATTTTATAAATGAAGAAAAATATTTCGACATCTTTGGTGCATTGTTGGTGGAAACATATTGCCGTGGTCTAACCACTTTGTGAATGTGAAAATTTTCTTGCAGAAATTTTTTCTTCAGGGGAGGTTCATATTTGGACCAGATGTAAGATCACTGGCACTGACAATTTTCCTTATAGTTGCTCCTGTCGCAGTTTTCTGTGTCTTTGTCGCGAGAAAACTGATGGATGACTTTTCTGATCACTGGGGCATATCCATAATGGCTGTGGCTGTCATTTTTACAGTTTATGTGGGTCTTCATCCCTATCCCTCTCTCTCTCTCTCAAGTAGATATAGGCACAATTTATGTTTCTTTATGTTATTATTATTATTATCATATTTCATTGCAAGAAGTATTTCCCTGGAACTTGATTGCATGTTCAAGTTTAAACAAGAAACTGAGTATTATTGGAATCTATTGCTGTTGAATGCCTTGCAATGACTGAACTGCTTTCTCTCAACAATGCTTGATTCTTGCGTCTATAAATCTTCTTTTGAGTCAAATGACTGTTTAGGCATTGAGATATGTAGAGATACTTGAATTTGGCTCATTTGTTGTGCTGAAACAAAATATTAGAATGTAAGGGTTAAGCGGTTATCTGGTCAACATTTTCATTGTGAAACTGTGGGACAGTAGAATTTACTATATGGTGGAATCTGCTTGCATTTTTTGTTAGACAAGCGAAGTATTCCTTCCAGAATAATGATTCTCTCAACTGTTTCTGCTTTAGATTGTGATAGACCTAACTTTAAGATGTCTTAATTTTGAACTAGAAGGATTAAGTTGGCAAATATGATTTATCAATTAATTTGAATGGCTAAATTTGATACATATCATGTAAGTTCTTTCTTTTGGTGCTGGACTTTCAACTTGACTGCTGAATGTCATGCTGGAAAAGTTTTACTCACATCCATTGAATTTTTAGTTGCTGCCTCGTTGGTGTTTGGTGATTTTGTCTTAAAAAGGTGTAGAAGGCTCTAGTTTACCTTTTTTAATAGATGGCGATAGTTTTGGACGGTGCTGTGCTCTAATTTCCAATTCTGTGCTGATGCTATGATCTTTCCAGGTTTTGGTTCTTCTGTTGTTAACATCTGGCAGAGATCCTGGTATAATTCCACGAAATGCACATCCTCCAGAGCCAGAAGGCTTTGATGGTAATCTAGATGTTGGGTCTGGTCAAACTCATCAATTGCGGTTTCCTCGCATGAAGGAAGTGGAGGTCAATGGTATGATAGTTAAAATTAAGTATTGTGATACTTGCATGCTATACAGGCCTCCTCGGTGTTCACACTGCTCAATCTGTAATAACTGTGTAGAACGATTTGATCACCACTGCCCCTGGGTTGGGCAGTGTATTGGGCAGGTAAGTTGACCCTATTACTTTTTATCTCTTATTAGGTGTCCTATGAGGCTTTCCTCGGTCATATGGAAAACTGTTTCCATTTACAAATCTTTTCAAAATTCAACTACCTAGGTTGACTAGTGCTTAATGGAGAATTTAAAAGAACTCTCTGTGGATCATGTGTATGTTAAAAGTATTCTCTTTTCTTTTGGAACTTTTTTGCATCCCTTACTAAAAAGGGTTTGGCTATAGTTTTCTGTTCTGTTCTCGTTTTGGCTTGCTTTTTTTCCCCTTCTTCATGTCCTTCCTAATGAATTGTATTATTGCCATGCAGCGTAACTACCGCTTCTTCTTCATGTTTGTCTTCTCAACCACACTACTTTGTATATATGTTTTTGCATTTTGCTGGGTTTATATTAGAACAATTATGAAGTCAGAGGAGACAACAATCTGGAAGGCAATGAGCAAAACTCCGGCCTCCATAGTATTGATAGCTTACACTTTCATATCTATTTGGTTTGTTGGTGGCCTTACTGCATTCCATTTATACCTGATAAGCACAAATCAGGTAGTTCCTGTATCTTTAGATATTATCCCTATCCTTCAAAAGTTACCTTCCCAAATTAGTTGTTCACGAGTATTTCCATATCCTTTGCAGACTACTTATGAGAACTTCAGATACAGATATGATCAACGAGCGAACCCTTACAACAAAGGAGTGTTGAACAATTTTGCAGAGATATTCTGCAGTACCATACCCCCATCAAAGCACAATTTCAGGGCGAAGGTGTCAAGGGAACCGGTGTTGCCAACCCGGTCAGTAGGTGGAGGGTTTATGAGCCCAAGCATGGGAAAAGCTGTGGATGACATAGAAATGGGGAGGAAAACAGTGTGGGGGGACATGGGAGGTGGAATGGATCGTGGTGAAGGTCAGTTAAACAATGAACGTGTGACTATCAAAGATGGTGACTTGAGCGACTTGCCTGCTGAATTGAGAGCAACGGTTGATGAAGCGAGTGATCGCGGTGGATTACATCCCCGGCGATCCAGCTGGGGAAGAAAAACTGGAAGTTGGGAAATGTCACCTGAAGTTCTTGCCTTGGCAGCCAGAGTGGGGGAACCAAACCGGGTGGGTGGAGGTAGCAGCAGCGCCAGCTTACCAAATGAGAACCAAAACCGCCATATGTAGTAGTCAATTGTTAGTGGACGTAAAAGGATTTAATTTGGCTGTGACGAACAAGAAAACAATGCATCCAAATAGTTGTACTTGCATGCATAATATGGGCGTTGTGGGGATTTGCTGGTGGATTGTCATTGTTGTGTCACACATGGTGCTTTTAGATAAGATAGAAGTTGTGTGTTGTTTCCAGAGTGAGTTTTTATTTTGCCCTGGTGCTGTATTACACACCTGCCAACTAATTATAATTTGCATCCCTGAACTTACCTCGTCCTCTGTTCTTGTATATCTGCACGTTTGCCAAATGCATTACTGGAGTTGCATGGAGCACATACCAGACTTTGGTGGTGGAAGTATTTGTTTATAATTGTTAGTTTGAATGAGTTGTCGGAAGAAGGCGAACAACTCTCACTTTTAGGGTGAGCTTTTTCTCCCTGTACGGGACAGTTTCTCTGCTACCGTTTGAGTGGTTCTTTCCTTGGTCATGGCTAGGGTTTTGGTGATGGCGGCAAAGGTTTTTAGTGGGTCCTCTCTCTCATTATTGTTGAGTGAGAGCGGATTCAGGGGATCGATAGTGGTTTTGGCCGAGAGATCCAAAGGCTGCTGCAATGGTGAGGCAAGGGGGTAGGAAGTGGGATCCTATTTTGTCGATTTGGATGCTGAGGGAGGGGTCCTACGGAGAGTGAGATAGGAAAAGGGAAAGTGACCAATATGGAAGATGTGAATCTGCTGCAGGAAGGACGACTTAATTTTGTGAAGCTTGGTGGTCGTCTTGCAGCAGCCCAAAGGCCATGGCCCATGAGGCTCTGTTTAGTAGGGCTCTTTGGTTGAACTTTTCTTCTTTTGTTGCCTTTTTTGCTTTGTTTAGGTTGTTGTTGTTTGTTTTGTTTGTGTATTGTGTTTTGTATCCCTCTGTCTTTATTTCTGCCATTACTCATAGATTATTTTTGTCTATGGTTTAAGGGGGGCTTAATTAATATGATCATAAAGTTATTTTTAATTTTTAGGTTTCCCTTTCCTCTATTTTCAGAAGGATTGTTTGAGCTGCAATTTACTGTGCGGCATTGGCGTCAAAAAAGTCAGGCTCCACTGAGCATGTGCTCAGACAACCACTTTCTACTTGCCTGTCTCTTGTGATCATGTTAGACAAGAGCTTAGTGTCACGGGTTGAGAGTCTGGCGCAGTACACGGCGCCCGTGCGGCGTCCTGGAGGACCCCATAATTCTCAGGACAAGCCTTACCACGTACGGATCACATTGATTTTGCCCTGCCATGGGCTCATCAGGGAGGCGGCACTAGCCCCCGACCAGTTGTGCACACAGTCCGAAGACTGAGGCAGAACACCCCCAATGCTAATGTCGCCCCCTTTACCCATATCGTGCGAGGCTAACCAGCGTACCGTTCATTATCTTGGTCTTTACACGGTTACGAAAATATCATCCATAACACTAGTCTATCCTCAGACATGCAGCGTTTTAGTTTCGGCTATTTGTTTAGTTTATTTTTAGGTGCTGTGTGGCTTTGGGGTGTTTTTGTCGGTCTTGTCCTGGTTTGATTTTCTTTTCTTGGCATTGGCAGTTGTATTTTGTTTCTATCTAATGAAATCATTTTGTTTTTTTTGGCCAAAATCTGATGAAATCATACTAACGTACTTCAGGTCCAAAAAAAAAAGAAGCTGTAGGAAGTCCTTGCCTACGGGTGCAAATTGTAATTGTAAATGAATCTTCTAATTATTCGATTTCCTGCTAATATATTAATTTTAAAAACTTAAGGAGAATGATGATGGAACTGTTTGAAATTATTTTTATTTTATTATTTTAAAAATTAGTATTTTATAAAATATGTTTTGAAAATAAAAAAATAATGAAAATAAATATTTTTTTATTCTTTCTTATTCTTTAGAATAATAATCTCAAAATATTTAAAAGTTATTTTTATTTTTTTATTTTTTAAAATAATAATAGATTTTTTTATTTTTTAAAACACATTTTAAAAATATATTATTAAATAGATTTTTTATTTCTTTATTTTGAAGAATAGAAAACTGTTTCAGGTCATCAAACAGGTCCGATATTTTTGGTATTTTGACGTCGAAGTCGAGTTGCTAATGCGCTCACAAAGAGTATCTCTTTGTAGAAAAAAAATAAAAATGTATTTCAAAAATGTGGGTAAAGTAGACGAAACGAGAGAGAATGATGACCCTGGTTGATGGTTTGATGGTGATTTGACGTCACGATTGAGCTTAAGTTGCTCATTAAAACATGATTAAGAATGTTTTGAAATGATAATAATAAAATTGAAATTTTAAAATTTGTGACAAGACATAACAGAGAAGCTGCGGAATTGCAGTCTGCAGAGGAATTATGTGAACAAAAGCCTACTTCCTGCCCTAGCTAAGCTAGCCTGCCCTACACAGACTTCTTTTATTATCCAAAAACAAATGAATCACCCAATTTCACTTCTATCTTTCTCACGAACACCTTCCCTCCACGGCTCCGTCTGCGACGACCCTCATCTTCTTCCTGGCTAGTTGATTTCCATTTCGACCTTCTTCGTCTCCTTGAAGTTGGACTCTGTGCGAGAGTAGTGTATAGGGTTCCTTCTGTACCAGTCCCACATCGGATAAGCGTCGACAAGCTATAATGTGTATATAGGACTAGTGCACCGCTAAAGTCGTCCCTTCGGGGACATCCGATAAAATTGGAACGATACAGAGAAGATTAGCATGGCCCCTGCGCAAGGATGACACGCACAAATCGAGAAATGGTTCAAATTTTTTTGCCAAAAATCATCCCCGTCTTTCATCCGCTCTTGGTTTTCCAGAGAGAAGCAGCTTTGCGTGAGCGGTGGTAAGTTTCATTTACACTGTGAATGGCACGTATTTTATAAGCTTGCTGGCTGATGCTTATTACAAATCCGAGTGTAGGTGCTCTTCATGTGAAGAACAATCCTCCGATTCGTGGTCTCCATTGCCTGAAACTTGTGACTGTAGTTAAGTGATTTTCGCTGTTTTGGTAGACACGGTCCTCCTTTAAAAAATCTTTGACGTTCCTTCTCTCACTTCTCTCTTTCTATTTACTTTCCTCATGAAAAGAATTGAGCAGCAGAGAACACGAAATTTGTGCGTTTGCTCTTGGTACTGTATGTTAAAAGCATTGTATTTGGCCTTGGTTTCAAGCTGTTGATCTGATAAATTTCGGTTGCGGTGCTGCTTAGTTTGGGCAATTACAGCTGAAGCTTTGTGCGAAGTAGTCCTGTGGTTCAACATTTATTAACAAGAGAATGTTGACGAATAGATTATGAGAAAAATCAAATTCAAGGAATTGCTGAAACAAGTCAAATTTCTGTTTACTCTGAGCAAAGTCTCTTGGTCTTGGCAATTATGATGAGTCCCTTTGTTTTGATACAATACAAGTGCGTGTTAGCACATATATGAAGCTCAATGTGGAATCTTGATGGTTCGTCTGAAATTTTGATATTTAGGCTCTTTGTTTATGTGGAGTTTTAAAGTGATAGGAGAAGTCTCATGCATGGAGATGGAGTGGAGGGCAACATGAAAGCCAGAAAGAGAATGGGAAATGAAATATTCGCCTTTGGAAAGAGATTGTTCTTTTTGATGGTGGAGGAATTTCTAGCTGGTGATCAGTTACCGACAATGCAATTTCTCCAAATTCATTTCATCCCAACAACATTCGGTTCCGGGTGCTACCAGAACAAATTTAGCCACGCAAATCTAATTTAAAACAAGAAATAAATAGTCGGGAGGGTGATGTCACACGTTTTTAATTTGGTTGGAGATCGGTCCTGTTGAAGGCTTGAAGCCAAGTTCTAATTGTATTGTAGCATGATGGGAAATACGTCTATTTATAAAGCATTTTTTAAATTAAAATATAAGATATTTTATAATAATTAGATTGTTCTTTGAATTTTATTCCTTCTTAATTAAAATGAAAGTATTTAATATAATTATATTATTATTTAAAATTAAAGGTAAAAATGAATATACATTTTTTAAATATTAAAAAATTAATATATTTTAAGATACATTAAATAATTAAAAGTATTTTATGATAGTAAAATTGGGTTTGAACTCGCAACATTTTAGTTAAAAAGCCCCGGACAGAACACGGAGGCTGGAATTTGGTTTGTAATGATTCAAGGGCAACTGGGAGTTGATAGTACCATGAGCCCAAAAACAAAAATCCAGACAGTGATAGTAAAATGCCATGGCAGCAAATCAACAAAAGACACATGGCATTATGGGCTTCAAGCAATTGCTTGAATGGCTTCGAGAAATTGGTATGGCCACATCACGATAATCCAACTTATTCACGTCCTCGCATTTATTGTGGTGTTATGTTTTTTTTTTTTTTGGCCAAAGTTTATTGTGGTGCTATTCGTTCGTTTAGAAACGACAACTTCATAAACACCCCACAAAAAAAAAATGAAAATGGGTAATCGAAATTTAGGGTTTATTTATTTTCAATTTTTAAAAACTGTTTTTAATTTTTGAAAATATAAAAATATAAAAATTTTATTTGAATAAATATTTTTATTTAATTATTTTTAAAACTGTTTTCATTTTTTTTAAAAAAATATAAAATATAAACAACTTCAAGTTGTTTTGTTTTATTTTACTTGTTTTTAAAATACACTACATTTAATTATTAAAAATTATGATTATTTTGACCACTTTTTATTATTAATAACCATTATTAACTGGATAAAATCATCACTATTAATTTATTTTTTAATTAACATAATTAAATAAATTTTTATTTTATTTTATTTTAAAAATAATTTTAAAAACTGCTTTATCAAACAATTTTTAAAAATAAAAAATGAAAACAAAAATCAACAGGCCCTTAATAGTATATTATATTTCCTTTGTCATCAATATTGTAACGATTATGTTTTTTTTGATAATTTTGTTGCAATGATTATTGACCACAAACAAATGTTATTACGATTGCAAAATCATTTAGTTCCTTTTGTTGTGAAATATAATCAGTTGGAGGGCTTGCTCATTTATTCTCTCATCTCTGTAGTGTATGCTTTATGTATACTGTTTTTTTTTTTTTTTAACCAGCACACTTCATTTATGCTGTTAATTTGATATACAATATACTCCTTTCATTGCAAATTACAAAACAACTTTAAAGTTATTTTGTTATTTTAAAATATAAAATAATTTGATAAAAATAAAATTTTATTAATAATATTTTTTTAATATTATCCGTTAAATGAATTAAAATGATATTATAATGTAATGATTAAATATGTGAGAATATTTTTAAAATTTTATAATGTTGTTTTAAAAAAGAAATTTATAAAAAATTATTATATTTTATTAATATACTCTCTCAGTTCAAAAATATAAGATATTTTTAAACAAATTTTACCTCAATAAAATAGTTATTTACTTTTAACTTAACCTTATCTTTTCATATTTACTCTCATTAAATACCTTATAATAAATATAAAGTCACTATTAATAAAAAAATTTAAAAAAATGTAAAGATTACATTTTAAAAGATTAAAAATATTATATATCTTTTAACATCAAATTTTTTAAAAAAATATAAAATATTTTATATTTTTTAATGAAGGCAAACTATAACTTGGGAACAGACGAAGTAAAATTTAATAAAAGAACCAAACCATTTAAAATGGTAATTTAATGTAGGATTGTATGATCGCGCCATAGAACCTGACTTTTGACCCTATGATCACATTCTCGGGCCCGCCATTTACATTCATTATTTAATGACATAGAAACTTGACAGAATAATGAGTTGATTATTTATTTGGGCTAACTCAATAAGTATTAAGATTTTTTTTCACGCAATAAAAAATTGGAATTCAGATCGATTAGCATTCGTTAAATTTTGCCCTTGTATCTTACAGGTCGTGTTTCAAGAGACAGTTGGTTTCGCTGAAGCTAGTTGTTCTCTAAATTCTCCAATTTGGAATGCCAAGCGTTCAAGTTCTCAAGGTTCAAAGTCTTGGTTAGGTGATTTAATGAGTATTTCTTTTCCAGGATCTTTCAAGGCCCAGCCTTTTATTTTCGTCTCTTTGAGCAGCAAAGTGAGATAGGGGGATATATCTTTTTGTCTAGCTAACCATTTCATACATCGTTCCTCAGTATTTCCTATGTAATCATTGGCTGCGATTCAAACCCTGGGTTTAAGAATTAAGCTTAACTTCGTCATTCCTCGCTGGTTCATGCCTCCAAAACAGAACGAAGGAGGTCCATAGTGGGAGATGTAATGTGGGCCTCACTAATTTTTGCTATACCTTTCATGATGAAGTGCTGTAGACAGGAGAATTCAGTGGAGGCTAGTTCTGATATTTTTGTAGTTTTGAACTCGGATGCCTTTCGGAAGAAGCAGACAGACAAGAAAAGAACTTCGAAGCCTGCGGATGAGGACTTGGACGATGACTGGGTCATCTGACTCAACAGCTCTTGTTGGAATCTGAATAATGTTAAGCTGTTGACGTGGAACGTCTATTTAAGAACGACGTCAGATTCGTTTACAACAGAGGCATAGAGGCATAAAACATACTCGGACACTGTGGAAGTTAAACGAATCAATAATGCAACAACGTTGTTGGGAATGCAGTTTGGCAATGATCTTCTCCTCGGTCGTTGAATTTATTTTCTTTCTACAGTGTTTTCGCTGTTTTAAACAGTGCCCATAATTTTTCTCCCCAACCTTGACCTCATCTTATCTTTCTTGGCACATTATAAAGCAGGGTCTAAAAAAAAAAAAAAACAGGAGGACCTAGAAGCATTGGGCGGAATATTTTTGTTTTTTAAACAATTTTAATAGCGCGCTCTCTCTCTCTCTATCTATCTCTCTAAAATTTATTTTAAAAAATAAAATATATATAATTTAAATACTCAATCTGTTTTAGAATATAAAAAATTTTTAATTAAATTTTATTTTAATAAAATAATTATTTATCTTTAAATTAACTCTATCTTTTTATATTTATTTTTATTTGATATGATGCTTTATCATAAAATAAAAAAGTCATTTATAAGGATATTTATAATGATTATAAAAGATATATTTTTTAATATTCAACCTTTAACAAATAAGAGTATATTATATTTTTATAATGTCATATTAATAAAAAAATTAGGTAGTCTTCAACCATTTTTTAATTTAAGTTTAACATTGGTGATAATTTCCAGAAAACAAGATATTTGCATATTTGGTATGTATAAGAGTAACAAATAAAAAAATTATAGTAATTTATTAAAAAATAACACATTATTATTAAAATAATCTATAATACTTGGAGCTCATGGAAACAATAAATTCTAAAATAACATATTTTATATATACTAAAATGTAGGTAGAATAACAGTTAGGTTTCTAAATACTAAATTAATATCATTTAAATTTTTGACAACTTTTTTTAAAAATAAGTTAAAAATATTAATTCAAATTATTATAAATATAGGAGTTTTAATTATAAATAAGTATTTAAATATTAAATATAATTTTTAGATTGTGACAAAAAATTTTATTTATAACTGTTTAAATTAATATTTATAATTTTTTTGTAAAAAATTTTATCAAATATTTAAATGTCATTAATTCATTCTTTTAAAATTTAACTGTTTTCTTCCTAAAGTATAATTATTTAAACTGTTTACTAGACAGCAAAATCAACGTTGTAGTGGCGAGTGGGGCTTTGCAATGATTTTGTTTCAATTGTTTTTAAAACATTTTGTCATTCTTGTCTTTTTGTCCATATAATTTTTTTTTTCAACTTTCCATTTCATAAATCAAAGCATATTCTTATGTCGTATTTTTGTGGTATCATATTAAATATTAATATATTTTTTATTTATATAATTTTGAAATTACTTTAAGATTTTTTTCATAAATAATAAGTTCAAGAACAAAATAAGCTATTTATATTTTTAGTATGCATAAAAATAATAAATTAAACAAATAGCAAGTTGTTATTGAAATGCCCGATCACGTACGTTAATTTTCCGAATAGATAATAAATGATAAAAGTTCTGTTTTGACATTCAATTGATCATTGATCATTCTTTTAATATTTTGTGTTCATGAGCCACATATTTCCTCGCATATCTATATGAGGAGAGTCTCCGGCTCAAAAGTTTAAAAGCCACAAAGCTGTAATTTCAAAATTGTGAGACTAGAAATATGTGTATGTTTTATCTATGATACATAAGTTTTACAATACAAAAGCGCATTCTTTTTTTTTTATGACAAAAAAGTCATATTCTAGTAAGTAGAATTTTTCCTTAAGTATAAGAAGCTTTTAAGATCCAACTTTTTTAAACTTTTTTTTTATATCAAAATCTTTCATAAATATACATATCAATATAATATCTAGAGACTAATGAAAGAAGAAAGGATAAGCATGTAATTTACTCTAAATTTCGTGTATCACACGAAACATTTTCTCGTCT